AGTTCCTAGAATTTGGTCTTGCAAAAAAGGTGAGGTCATTATCAAAGAAAAGGTGGGAGATTTTGGGTCCTGAGTGGCTCATTTTAAAGGGAAACCAGCTACCAATCTGCACGTGGGCTTTAATGCTTCTACAGAGTCTCTCCATACACATGATGAAAATATAGGGAGACATGTGATCTCCCTGTCTAATGCCCCTACTAGCATTGAAGTACTCAGTTCTACCCCCACTAAGTAGTACATAGATAGAGCTAGAGATAATGCATGAGAGAATCAGTTTTGTAATATTGTCAGGAAAGCCTAAGGATAACAAAGTGTCCCTGATGAAGGACCATTCCGACCCATCAAATACCTTTTCCAGATCAATTTTGAGGATCATGTCGGCATTCTTCCCTTTTATTTTACTAAAATAGTTAATGTACTCCTGCACAATGATGGCATTATCACTGGCCCGCCTATTTGACAGGAAACTAGCTTAGCTAGGGCCTATGTTAGAAGGAAGAACATGCCTAATTCTGTTAACAATGATTTTGGTGATCAACTTGAACATTGTATTGCAGAGGCCTATTGGTCTGAAATTCCTAAAAAGTGTGGCATTTGGATATTTAGTGATCATGCACAGGTAGGTTATGTTTACAGATGGGTTCATTTCTAGGGTATGAAAAATCTGGTTACAAAAGCTGGTTACCATACCCTCTAGGACATTCCAATATTTTTGGTAGAACATAAGGTGAAGGCCATCAGGTCCAGGAGCTTTTGTAGGCTTGAATGAAAATATAGCATTCTTTATTTCAATATTACTTAAAGGGGCTTTTAGACTATTCTATTCCCTAGGAAAAAGAGTATATGTATCAGATGGCATGCTCTGCCATCCAATAGGTGATGAGTAGTGCTTAGTGGTGTAAAGGGATGGGTAAAAATGATATATGTCATCTACAATCCACCTTTGATCATCAATCTAATCCCCTGTCTTATCATAGAGGGCTAGAATCCTATTCCTTCTTCTCCTTTTGAGGGTAGATGCATGAAATAATCTAGTGTTTGCATCCCTATTCATTAGCCAATTTATCTTGGATTTGGTCTTCTAGAATTTCTCTTCACTTCTCATAATAGTTGAGTATTATTCTAGGAGTTGGCTCTCTAGGTGTTGGAGGAAGGAACTAAAAGGGTATGCACTAGACCTCTGGATGCCCCATAACCTAGCCAATATGCATTTCTTTTTATGGAAAATATTACCAAAAACCAGTTTGTTCCAAGTAGTAACTTGGGTTTGGAATCTGGTGGTTCCCTCCTGTAGGTTACAATTACCCTCATAGGCTTGTTGTACCATACTGGTGAGAGAAGTGTGACTGTACCACATGGGTTCTAACCTAAAGGGATTTGATATATTGCTTGGTTTATACCATATGTTGACCAACATGGGGGAATGATCAGAATGGGTTCTAGGAAGGTGGCTACTAGTACTAGAGTGAAATTTCTAGACCTAATAATCATTAGCAAAGCACCTATCTAGTCTTTCAAGGATTAGTTGACTTTTATTGCTATATCTCATGTTAGTCCAAGTGTACTTACTACCTTTAAAATCTAGGTCTATAAGCTTACAATGGTTTATGCACTGCCAAAACAGATTAGCTCTTGGAGCAGAGATGCAATTCCCTCCTTGCTTGTATCTTGCTCTCTGGACTTCATTGAAGTCCCCCCTACCAGCCAACTCCCATGGTAGTTCTCAGGGATAGTTCTAAATTGCTGCCAAAGGTTTCTCCTATATAGATAGGTGTTAATAGCATAAATAGTAGTAAAAAGCCAAGAGTTAGAAGAAGGTATTACCTTGACCATAACATTTATGGCTTGAGATGTGGTAGAGATTTCATCAATATTGAGGAGGTCATCATTCCATATAATAACAATGCCCCCAGAAAGGCCAATAGTTGGGCTCTGAATTTGGCCAGGGAAGCCCAGTTCATGGATCAGGTGCTTATGCTCAGTCATCCTAGTTTCTAGGAGGACCAGTATTGCAGGCTTGTGCAGTTTAACCATCTTAGCACAGAGCCTCCTAAACTCACTAGTGTTATCTCCCCTATCATTCCAGATGACGACATTCATTAACAACTTGGGGTGTAAGGGGGGGGGGGGGACTCCTCTTCAAGCATTTGGCCTTCCCATTCACAGTTGTGGCTTCCTTGCTCTCCAGCACAGAGCTATCCTGTTTGCCTTCCTATGCCAGGGCTAGACATAGCCTTACAGCTGAGTCTCCTGAGTCTGGATTTGAGGCTAGCCTTAGACTTAACCCACACTGTTTCATGCCCATTGGGCATAATATGATAACCATTTCTTCCCCAGGACCTCTGAACGCTATTAGTTCCTCCTGTTGCAGGAGCATTGCCTTTGTTTTGGGAACCCCCAACTTTGCTATCAGTGCCTCCAACTCTGTGTTGAAGGCTTGCAGGTCCTCGTGAACTTTTATCGAACCTGCCATATGAGTTGCCTTTGATGGTGGGCTCATGGTCCATGCTGGTATCCATTGAAAGAAGGGTGGGCTTGCAATCTTCTCTACAAGTGGGACTAGTGGGAAGAAGGGTAGGAAGTGTCTTATCTGGTCCATTAAAGCACTCAATTGGTTAGTTGACATTGTTTGTTGACTTAGTGCTACTTGGGCTTGCAAAAGTGTTGTCAGCCATAGCTGGTTCCCAAAGTTCAACATTGCATGGTTGAGGCATGTAGTAGCTACCTTGGCCACGTAGTGTGGTCTTGGATGACCACAGTGATGAGCATCGACCCTATTGTGAAGGTCAGTGGAAAGGATGTACGCTGCAGTGCCATTTCCATCCATGAGGTTGGAAAATGGTCTGGTGGTAGTGGAGTTATTGTCACAAGAAGTGGTAGGGGTTCCTCTTCTTGGTTCTGGGTTTGTGTATTTGGTTGTATATTGTTTGGGTTGTTCGCCATTAGTGGGGATAGGGTTGGAAAGGTTTTTAACTGTAGAAATTCCATAATTGTGTTTTAAGTCTTCCCCTTCCTCAGTTGGATTTCGTGCACTAAAATCTTTCATCTTTAAAAATCTTTCGGACGCGACGGAGACTGTCAAGTCATCGAGAGCGGGAGGGGGGTGATGATGCTGGGAGGGAGATGGGGGTGTAGGGCTTTATGTTTGAAGTAACTCACTCAGAGAGACTGATTCTTTCTCCCCTTCACCAAATATGAGGCTATCGCCTGTGGATTTAGCCCAATAAAGGCCCCTACGATTTGACTTTTTGAGAATGTTGTTGGTACCAATTTTGGAGTAGTGTCACACCTCCTTTTTCCCTAGGGGATATGAGTTTTTCAATTTTATGTGACATATTGAAATGGGATTGATATTTAATTTTAAGAGTCGCCACTTGGAATTATTTACTTCAGGTGTTCCATGTCACCGATTTATTTTGAATCCCAATTCAAGAAAATTTAAACTCTATTTATGGCCGGCGAACACAGAAGACTGGGTAAGAAATTTTGTTAACCTAGAAGAAGGTATGAGGCACTCCCGGATTATGTGGTTTTAGCACGGTCGCTTAGCGATCACACTTGGCTTAATTATCTTATTATTACGTGCATTTTTACATTTTACCGCTTTTAATCTTGTTTTAAGTAATTATGGAATTTGTTTGAAACAAGCAACGATGTCGCGTACTTGTTGTTTTGTACATATTGCAAATCTCACCATATGAAACACACCCGCAATTTACAACATGCTTATTATTACTATTTATTGGAAGTTGAGAAATCAAGTCACATAAATGCGCACTTGAATTTTGGAGTTAAGTATCACAGTTGTGCCACGGGAACCCAACCCACCACTATGACGATTATTTATTAAACGCGCCTTAAACAACTAGCGATATTCAAATCATTCTTCCTAAACTAATTTGAGAGTGTTATAAAGTCGTGAGGTATGGATATTATTGTGGAGGAAATGAAGTAAATTAATTATGGAAAAGGTAGGTCAGCTTATGTGCTTCAGACTGTCAACACTGGGCCAACAACATTCATTTGGTCCAGATCCGATTCTTTTGATGTCACCCTATGATCCAACACGTGATAGACACATTTCCTACTATTTTCCAAAGACCAGTTAACCCAATTCTTCTCAATTTTAACTGAGTAAATCCACCTATTCATTTATTTGAATTAAACACTAGTCCATTAAGCTAATTAGCTGGTTCAAGAAGTCAACCATCTGGAAACAATCAAACGAACCATAATATCTAACAACAAAATCTCAACATTTAAATATAAGATATCAATTCAAAGGAAATAAATTGAGCACAGAAAAGACAAAATAGAGCAAACCAACACTTGCACAATATTAAAGAAACAGTAATTTCAAGAAAGGATGGACCTGGATTCTATGATATTTCTCCAAATTTGATTAAACAAACACTTTGAATAAACTTACAGCAACAATGTTGTTTGAAAACGAACAGGGACTGCAATCGATGCCAGCAACCTCCAATGATACTCACCGGACCTCGACCCAAGAGAAAGCTAACAGTGACTAAAGACGAAGTTGTTTATGGGTGTTTTACCATGGCTATGTTGCTGAATTTGCAGTTGAAAATTTGCACAATTTCTAGGTGCGACACAGCTGCGTTTTTAGGGACTGTTTCAGCTGCTTTGGCTTGGTTTTGGGTAGTACTAGAGCTCGATTTCGGGGCTGTTTGCAACTGGTCTTTGCTGTTGTTTTAGGAGGCTATTCGAGGGCTATTTCGGGGTCGTTTTTGGACAGAGAAGAGGGCTGGTTTGAGGGTGAGATTTCAGCTGGTTTGGGGGCAGTGGCGAAGCCACATAACTATTTAAGGGTGTTCAAACTTGAACACGAAAAAAAAAATTCTCAACAAGTAGGTGGACCGAAAAATTTAACTCAAACAACGTGATATCGAGCTAAATTATAAGAATACGGGTAATAGTACGAACAATTCGATGTAACCAAACTAATATAAAGAAGCGTCAAAAAGAGACTCTACTTATTACAAACGTACTCGATGAGGCTTCATCTCTTGAAATGTTTTTATAATAGACTCATTAGAAACAATACTAAATACTTCTCTTTCTACATAAGGCACTATGCAACCGCCTAAAAAGTCATCATCCATTCGATTCCGCAAGTCATTCTTGATAAACTTCATTGCTGAGAAAGCTCTTTCAACGGTTGCAGTGGCAACAGGAAGAAGCAACACAAGTTTCACTAAGAGAAATACAAGAGGATAAACTGAATGCTTCTTTGTCTTAACTAATCTTTTTGAAAGATCAGAAAGCCCATTTAGATTGGAGAACCTTTCATCAAAATCACGAACATCAATAATGTAACTCGCAAGCTGATTCTCAAGAGAACTCATCCTAAATTCATCAAAGTCATTAGGATACAATTCATCCATCTTCATTATTTTTCTAATATCAAAACTTGAAAATGCGTCAATTGGATTCAAACAAGCAACTCCATGAAGCAACTCAGTCGTCACTTTGTCAAAACGATCATTAAGTTCTTGAACTTGCCAATCAAGAACTTTACAAAACACATCAACACGATAATGATAAAAGAAAGTATAATCAGCAGGTTTTCGCCGTGATCTTCCAAAGTTAACATATAGACCATCAAAATTAGGCACCAAAATATCATGCTTGATACAAAACATAGAAACTTTATCAACAAATAAATCCCATTCATCATCCCTCCTTAAAGTTTGCAATCTTTTCTTCGCTACTTGAACAAGTAGCATGGCATTTGCAATATCTTGCTCTTTTTTTTGTAAGGATATATTCAACTTATTTGTGATCCCCAAATATCTGTCATTAAATGCAACAAGAAAGCAACCTTATATGTTTGACAAGCTTCGAGATACCCCGATGCCTTAGCTCTATCATCTAAAGTACCTGCATCTTCAACAAGTGTATCAAGAACATCAGCAATAGAGCCAAACATACGAATAAAGTTTCCAAATGACTTGTAGTGAGATCCCCAACGAGTATCACCAGCTCTAACAAGACCGAGTTCTTGATTCAAGCCTCTACCTGTTTTTAGTTCACCCATATCTAATGCCTCTTGGAGTTTTTCTTTTTGAGAATCTCTAAATTCATCCACACGTTTAAAAGAAGCTCCCAACACATTCAAAATATTTGAAACCAATAATACAAGTTCACCTACTTGAACACACTTCTTAGAAACCGCAACTAGAGTCAATTGAAGTCGATGTGCAAAACAATGAATAGAATGAGCCGATCTACTTTCTTGTTTAATCAACTTCTTAAGACCTTTATATCACCTTGCATATTGCTTGCCCCATCATAACATTGTCCGCGTATAGAAGATAAACTTAAAGAATGATGAACAAGTACATCGACAATTACTTTCTTTAGAGATAAAGCACTAGTATCTCGAACATGAACCATGCCAATAAACCTCTCCATCACGCTTCCTCTTTTATCGACATACCGTAAAACAATAGCCATTTGCTCTTTGCGTGACACATCTAAAGACTCATCAACTAATAAAGCAAAGTAGTCACCATTTAGATCCTCTATTATAGCCTTAATAGTTTCTATCTTACATGCGGTCACAATTTCTTTTTGAATATCTGAAGAAGTCATCTTATTGTTTTTTGGAGCATGTTTCAACACAAAAGGTTCAATCTTGTCACATTTAGCCGCATACCATGAAAGAATTTCAATAAAATTACCCTTGTTCAATGACGTTTCACTTTCGTCATGACCGTGAAAAGCAAATCCTTGAGTCAAAAGAATCCTTACCACATCAACTGAAGCATTTAAGCGAAGCCAACACTCAAGCTTAGTTTGATCAGACTGTTTGTCAAATGCAGCAATAATAGACTGTTTTTTTTTGCATTAGATCATCACAATTTCTACTTGCTTTATTGTGAATACTATTTGGCAAACCAACATGTTTCTTAAAACATTCTTTTCTGTTCCTATTCCTAAACCCTTTACTCGAAAAAACATCACCACCACCTTGCTGAATACTTTCGCCCTTAAATAAATAACAAGGTAAACAATATGCAGCATCGGTACTTACACTATAATCCAACCAATTAAATTCATCAAACCACAGAGGATTAAAACGACGCATAAATCCGGAAAAGTGAGATTGAGAGAAGTCATGATACCGAGGTTGGCAAGCACCACCTTGAATGTATGCCCTCCTTATTTCATCACGATGGTTTGGATGATACTCCAATATTGGAGTTCTTTCAGCTGGGTCAGACTGTGGAGCAATTGTATCAATTTCTTGTCTATGAGAAGAATGCAAGGAAAACTCTGATTGATCGACATTTTGAGACGCCGAACTTATTTTTGGTACTTTGTTGTAAAATTTCAACAAATTCATTGCAACTTCAATCTGCTGAATGTATAAAGTAGTTAAAACATATTACTCCTCAACATTTAAATAAACAAAAGGAACATATCAACAATTTGTGTTTGAACTTACAACAAGAAATATACATAAATGCTAACTAATTACTCCCAGTGTACTGTCCCAAAAATATTTATCACACAAAAAATCAGAGAAATTTACTGAAACTTTGAAGCAAACAAGGAAAAAAAAGTTGAGATTCGAAGCAAAATTCGAACCAGTTCAATACTTCAATGGCGGAATGGAGTTGCCGAGTTGGACTTGGACACTGGACAGTCGGCGGAGAGCAATACAAAGCAGTGAGAACTTTCGTTTGTTTTGCTGTCTTTAAAAAGAATTGTATTGCAACAGAAATGAAAATATGTGGAGCTGCGGGTTCGATCCTGCGTCCCTGAGGCATTTTTGACCACCCTTAGCCACTGGGCTATGGCTCTTCATTGTTACAAGGGTGGTCAATATGTATTACATATATATAAATCCTAATATTTTACCTATATACACAGTATTATTTTTCGACGAAGGGTGGTCAGTTGACCACCCTTGCTACCATGTACCTTCGCCCCTATTTGGGGGTGGTTTGAGGCGTGGTTTCAGCTGGTTTTCATGGCCATTTTGTGGTGGATATTTGGGTGAAAATGGCTGGTTTTATGAACTCTTACATGGCTGCATTTTTTTGAGTTTGGGCTAGTGTTTTTGCTGGGTTTGGGGCCAATTTTCATGGCTTTTTGAGGCTGTTCTTTGTGGTTGTTTGGAGCTGCAATTTAGACTGGTTTTAAAGCATAACTGCTGCTGTGTTTTTACACATGTTGCGGCTGATTTTCGATGGATTAAAGGAGCTTTAGGGACTAACCTTCGTGGCTGAAATACATAGTTTTTTGGGGGGTGCTTGAGGGTGGTTTAATGGAGGTGTTTTGTTACATGGTTGAGAGCTAATGTTCTTTTGGTTGAGGGAGAAGGTTGCTATGATTGTGTATTGGGCGAGCTATTTGGAGTAGAAGGCTGCATATGCCTCTTTTACTTAGCTTCCTCTAGGTTTTTGTACAGATCCTCTGCTCGTTTCCCCCTTCCTCTCTTATGTTATGAACGCGTAAATAAGGAGAGATGAGTCACGTAAGAGTTTGCCCAAAAAATCCGTGAATTGTGAGGCCATCAAAAGTGTGTGCAGGTGAGAAGCTACCAAGAAAGTAGGAATTTGTTAGGGAGAATCTTTTACAAGTGGCCAATTGTGCTTGGTTCTTTCTTTTTGTATTATTTTCTTTTCTTGATAACAAATAAACAAAATAAGCACTAAACTAAATAAAACTATATTTTGGGGAACTTTTCTTTCTTTGTAAATGAATGTAAAACTTATACCGAAAATGTGACTCTTTTTTAATAATTTTAATTTTCTTAAATTAAATCTATAAAAGGTCAAATGAGTGTTAAAATATGTAGATTAAACTTAAAGTGTATTTATATACTAAAAAGTGATGAAATATTTAAATATGATCAAAAATTAGGTGCTCACAGCATGCCCCTCTTTGCTTAGAAACATGAAAAGTTTTCAGGCAAAGAAGAAGGTGAGCTACATGAGTGATTTTTGACCATATAATTATTAAAAAGGGAAGAAATAATAGATAAGAGTGCAATCGAGTCCTAGTTTTGGACATCCTACATATCCCGGGTTATAAGAAAATCAGTTCGTGTGTAGTTCAATGAGAATATGGAATGATGAGTTGGAGAGTCGAGTGAGGTTCCGTCGAGGCTCCGGTCTGTGGTCCAGTTTATTGCATCATAATGAAAAGAAAATTAAATTAAAGAAAAGGAATATACCAGATCCTATCTACTCTTTGTGTCTTGCGTCTTGTATCTTCACTTGAGATCTCGTAAACCCCCATTGAAAGGTGAGTGCCTTGAATTTGAAGTTTGCTTACCCGCATTTGAAGGTGGGTGCCTTGAATTTGGGGCTTGTTGACCCGCATTGTATAGTGGGTTCCTTGAGATTGAAGATTGATTCTTGAATCTTAAGCGTGAACTGAGACTTGGATTGGGTCTTAAATGCTTGCTTCTTAATTATAAGCTGAGAAGATGAATTTTGTTATGCTGGTCGATGTGTGCATTATGTCAAAGCTCGACTCCAACTGTCTTTGTGCTCGAACAACCTTCTTTATCTTATCAAATTTTTGATCTTGGACATCAAATCTATGTTCTGCGGGGAAACCTGCAAGACATCCCAGACAAAAATGAACAAAACGTTTCTATCATAGTTTTTACTAGAAAAACTTTTTGATTTATTAGAAAAAATTGTAAACCATGTTGTTTTTTTTTGTTTTTTTTAAATTGAGAGCAAAAAAAGCATTAGGAAGTGGTGTACCCTATATTAGCAATGATATCAGGGAGTGGTGTACCTTGCATTTAGAATCAATCAACTAGGTAGTGGTGTACCCTATGTTGAAAAATACAGCTAGGGATTGGTGTACCCTATACTGATAAGGACATTAGGTGTGGTGTAGCCTATATTAGCAATGATATCAAGAAGTGGTATAACCTGAATTTAAGGTCAACCAAGTAGGGAGTGGTGTACCCTATGTTTGAGAACATAGCTAGGGTTTGGTGTACCCTATATTGGTAAGGAGACTAGGGAGTGGTGTACTCTATATTAGCAAAGATGTAACGACCTGAGCTCGTTTTGAGCTCTAGAAGTCGTATGGCGGTTTAAGGCCCTGAGTAGCTTCATTTCACGTTTTATGACTTGTACGCATAGTTGAAATCGAATTTCGAGAATTTTAGAGTTGATTTGGACGGAAAATTCTCAATTCGAAAGCTTTAAGATGGAAGAGTTGACCAAGGTTTGACTTTTGAGTAAACAACCTTGGAATCGATGTTTGTATGATAATTTTGGACTTGGACGTGTTTTCGGTTAAGTATCATGCGGCCCAGGAGCATTTCGGCGCTTATTGTGGAAAGTTATCATTTTCAAGGTTTTAGAAATTCCTAAGTTTGATTTGAAGTGGACTTTAGTTTTATGATGTCCATTTGGGATTTTGAGCCTTAGAATAGGTTCGTATTGTGATTTATGACTTGTGCGTAAAGTTTGGCGTCATTACAGAATGTTTAATTATGATTCAGACGCGTTCGTCGAAGTTTGGAAGTTTGATAGCTGAAAGAAAGATTTTGATCGCCGATTCATGATTTTTATGTTATTTGTGGTATTTCGAGCCTTTGGATAAGTTTGGATAAGGTATTGGGACTTCTTGGTGTGATCGAACAGGGTCCCGGGGGCCTCGGGTGAGTTTCGGGGTGGTTTCAGATTAATTCTCCCTCTTTTGTCACTACTGGTTTCAGGTGTAATCGGTATGCATCGCGATCACGAAAGTAAGGATGCGATCGCGTAGGGTTAGCTGGGCTAGAGGAGTTTTTGTTCAACGCGATCGCATAAAAGGAGAAGCGATCGTGTAGCTAGAGCAGGTGTCATTTCTGAGGCTGGGGATTTTCGCCTTCGTGTTCGCGTTGTTTGACGCCCATTCGCGTAATCTTATCAGGTTAAGCTTCGCGATCGTGAAAGCTTTATCCCTTTCGCATAAGGGAGTTTCTGGGCAAGGTCTATTTGGCCTCCGCGATCGCGAGGTTTTTTCTGCGATCGCCTAGAAAGGAGGCCTGGGCAGAATATAAGTTAGCAAAAATGGGGATTGCTCATTTCATCTAATTTTTTCTCTCCTGGAGCCGACTTTGGGGCAATTTTGGAGAGATATTTCATCCGTCTCTTGCGGGTAAGTGTTTCAAACTACTTTTGATTATATTTCATTAACCATATGGAATTTTAACATGAAAATCTGTAGAAATATTGGGATTTTGAAGAAAGACGTAGAATTGGCATCTTTGGATTTTTACAACAAAAGTGGACATGGAATTAGGAATAAATGATATTGTCACACCTCCTTTTTCACTTACTACACCCCCGGAAGGGTATAATAAAGGAGTTTTTCCAATTAAAGGACAATCGAAACGGGATTCGTTTATTAAGAAGTTCAGAGTCGCCACTTGGGAGATTTATGGTGTCCCAAGTCACCGTTTTGAATCCCGAATCGAGGAAAGGGTTTGACTCTGTTTAACAGTCGCGAACCAAAAATCCGGGTAAGGAATTCTGTTAACCCGGGAGAAGGGGTTAGGCACTCCCGAATTCCGTGGTTCTAGCACGGTCGCTCAACTGCTATATTTCGCTAAAGTCTGATTTTAATACATGTTATCCTATTGCAATTTTGGAATTGTTTAACCGCTTTTAATTAGTTTTTATGAAGGTGAACGTCGTTTAAGAGCGTGTTTTTGGATCACGTCACATGAAATGCACCCGGATCCTCGACGCCTCTTATTCAACATTTTGGGATTTAGATTTGGGTCGCATGAAATGCACACCCGTATTTAAGAAGGTAAAATTATTAAAAGCGCGCCTAAAGTGGCTAGCGTCTTGTTAACTTTGCGGGAGGCCATGAAAATTTGCTAAATGGCACGCCTCGAATTCTAAGGATTAAAAGAAAATTAATTAAAGGAGGGCCATGCAATTGTCATTTTTGTTTGGCACGGCACACCTTAATTTATTCTAATCAAGAGGTTTCTAGATTAAACTACGAAGGCCATACTAAGGAATCATAGAGTAGAAGAAGCTGCATTATAATTACTGGCAGACCAGTTGAATCACTATGTTTCAAATCAAGCAACAAATTTTCACCAGTAGATTACTCCATATTCACGATAACTAACACTTAATTCCAAATTGAGCCTACTGTGAGAACGTATAAGATTTCCAAATCAGAGCACACGTAGGTTTCCATAATATCCAAACCAAAAGCAGCTAACTAATTCATTCCCATTGCAAATACACACCGAATTCAAACTATGCACAACAAATCAAACTAGGCATAAACCATCATAAGTTATCAAAGACACAAAACACAGAAATTTCCTTTTTAAATTCAAGGTAAGAAATGGACGCCAAT